CAATTTCTTCCTAATGTGACCTAGTTTGTAACTTTAGAAGCATAGACCCTCAAAGCCAAATTCTGAGAAATCTTACTGATATAGCTTGTAGTTTAATAATAAAGCCTTTTCATGTGGTTTACTTGGTATCAATAAAATCATACTGCATTTATATAACCATGTAATTTCATTATAATTTTCTATCACTTGTTAACCATCTTCATAATTAGTATTAAATTATGTCATAGTTCAGTAAAAAACATTCTGTGAGAATAGTATGTATCAGAACACTATGATGAAAAGCTTTAAAATGGCATTAGCCATCTCTGAATTAAATTATTTTATTTCTATCTCTTGTTATACTTATATGAAACTGGAGTTTTCATAAAAACACACAATTTATGTTGATAGGGCACAACAAAAATGGTTCACTTCTAACCAGAATGGCTTCAATACTGATAAACATAATTCTTCTTAATTTCACCATGCACATACCATGTAATGGACAAATTATACTGCCTTAGGTTTTAAATAGTTCTCAATGATTGAAGGATGCCACAGGAATAAAAATGTGGGCTTTAGAAATATAATATGCAGTCTTGCTTTCAAGGTTTACTGAACAAGCAGAGCTATACACATGTGTGTCCATGGAATGATTTAGCAAAATTACCTGTTAGTCATGTGTCCTATCTATTTAAAGGCCTAAATTCCTATATTTATTCTTCAATAAAGCATCAAAGTTAGAACTGATTATCCTGTACCCAAAACTATGAAAATAATGCCAATATGTTTTAAATCTAAGTAAATGAAAAATAAGAATCACTGGAATGAGTTAACAAATTAGCCAGTTCCACTATTAGAAAGTTTTAAGTAGCTTTCTTTCTCCAACTTCAAAAATAGCACATATTTATCCATAATCTTATTTATTGTCATTTTTTCCCTTAAAATAACTGAAGAGATATGATACAGAGCTTATCACATGGTAGTTCTATGCAGAGGCAGGGACACTGTTAGATGTCTGCAAGCATCTCATCCCCACCAAAGGACAACACAGCAATAGTATCAGCAGAAAGCAAGATCCTAATTTCACCAGCTAGAAAACTCAGCAAAACTACCAAGCCTAAAGTGCTTTAACCAGCAAGAGGAAACAGAACACTGGTTTAAATGAACAAAAGGGAACTAATGGTCATTCATGAAAAAATGAAAAGCAGATATAACATACGAGGGTCATTCAAGCACCAACGCCATCACCAGACAAGACTTTAAGACCAAGAATGCATTTAATGACAGAGGAGACAAAAATAATGGGAGAGGGGATATAGGTGGGACAATTTTCTTTCAAATGACCAAAGCTCTTGCTATCCCTTCATGAAGAAAAAGTAAAAAAAAAAATCTTTGGCTGCTATTAGTCAAAGATATATACTAATGAACCCCTCCCAAATCACTCAAGAATAAAATCTCTTATTTCAAAACTGAAGTAGCTATGCATGTGTGTGTGTTCATATATAGATCACATGTATGAAGAGGAAAAGAGGTGTGTAAAGCACAGAAGAGTGGTGCTGGTCAAGGTCATTCTCCTCTTGAAAAGGAAAAGTGACTAAAAGAAATGGTCTGGGGGACAGGAGTCAAGTGGCAACTTCTTTGCACCTGCCTGCATCCTTACATCTGTTCCCATGGGTGTATTGACTTTCCTATTGTTCTGGCCCTCTTGCTGGTAAACGTAAGAGAGCTTAAAAGGAAGAACATTTTGCTGGGAAATTTCCTATTAACACCTGACAGTCTTAACCCATTAGTGAGACAAGCCAGCTCTATGTAAGTACAAGGTCAGTGGACTCGAATCTTCAAACTAACTGGTGTGTACCTCTCTGCCACTCCAAACAAGGGAGAAGGGAAGGGAGAGAGAAATCTCCATTTTTAAGAAACTTCTATATATGAAACTCTGTACTAGGAGGTCGATTTGGTCTTGACATTCCACCTAACTGCAATCTGTACCAATGAATGGTGTTTCTAAACATGAATCACACAGTAATCCATGTTTAGGCTTCTAAGCACTCAATAACCAGATAATGCATTTGTCTTGCTTTCCCTCAGGGTGAGGGCATGAAGGCAAGACTTAACCTGCAGAACAGTGAATTCTTAGTGAGAAAAGGCCAGAGAAAGGTGAAATGAGAAAGGAGATGGAGAAAGCCCATTATTTTCCCAGTTACTGATATTCTGCACCTGCATTTCTTCTTTCTTGGGTACCCTCTAAAAAGGTATGGCTTATTTGCTAACAAATATTATGAGTGTGGTATAGTTTCTGTTGTAATAATATTCTGGAGAGATCTGGGGGACAAAGGAGTGTCTTTGTCAGATTTTTAGTACACAGTTTTCTGTCCAGGATTTCCTGAGTGATGGGGGAAATACATAGAAGTTAACTTGAAAAAGAAGATAAAAGGAAAGAACCCCCCCCCCCACCTAGTTCCTCCCAAATTCCCACTTATTTTTAGTTTTCATTCAGGCAGTACCCTTTTCTTTCTGAGTCTTCAGAGAGGAGAACGTGGACCTGCTTTTCTGTTAAAGTCGAGTTACCTTCTACATCCTTTCTTGGTTCTCCCTAGAGCTGGAACTTACAGAGCAAATCTATCTGAAGCCTGCCCTTCACCACCCTCGTGTTTATTGGGCTTGGGGGTAGCAGTGGGGGGGAGAAGGAGTTGTCTTTTCAGCGGTATTTCAACTGGAGATAAAACAGGAGTATAAATGACCTAATTAAATCCAGGCGAGCCGGAGGAGAGGAGAGAGAGACCGGAAGAAATGGAAATCTAGGAAAAACACACTTGGTTTCAGGTTTCGAATCCTGAAAAATCATGCAATACTTGAGTATCAAGGCATTTTTCTTGCAGCCAGCTTTCCTTCTATGTTCTTGAATATTCATTTACAAGGGGGTGGAGGACTGCAGGCAAAGGAAGTCAGGCAGGACCTCACTGCCCTCCAAGCGTCTCTCTCCACCTCCTTCCTCCCCCATCCAGGCCGCCACCTCGGCCATGATGCGCTATCTGCCAGGGGCCCCGCTGAGCTCTCCGGGCCCCTCCCCAAAAAGTGTCGACCAGGGCCTGGCAGCTGCAGTGGCGGAGCCCAGCCCCCAAGCACGCTGCATTTACGGCCTTGTAGCACCACCAGCCTGCGAGGGCTGCAGCAGCAGCCGAGCCCAGAATCCAGAGCAGTCAGGGACATCCACGCGCAGGGACCGCGAGAGCATCCAGCTAGTGGCCAGCTTGTAGTCTGCAAATGCCATCATATGGATATCTATAGAAACGCAGCCAGCAGAGGAAAAGAGGCAGCGCCCCTACACTTTCTAAGCGGCTGTAGCAAAGAGAAACCTTCGGCGCCTCTCCAGTCGCTGCCTCCTAGAGGAGGGCGCTGGGCGCTCGGCGGGGCCAGATCTTCCGCCGGGTGCACCCAGCAGGCAGCTACCGAAGGCTGGAGACAAACGATCACGCCTTAGCTGAATTATTCAGACCGCCTTTACTATGGAATAAAACATTGATGAGACTACTTTGGAAGTGCTTTATCTTGTTAATCCGAATGCTCTCGAGAAGGGGGTGACATTTCTGTAGGGGACGCAGAGGTGATGCAAAAAAGGGAATGAGAGAAATAAGGTGCAAGGGTAAGGGGCTTTGGAAGTTCGATAAATTTGTTCTGACTCCTTCAGCCTCGGGAATCTCCGTTATAACGTTATCAAACCCAATATGTTAATTAGGCAGTCGCAAATCCACCCTATTCCTTGTAAATCAATGCACTGGCAAAAATGCTCAAAATACACAGGGTACAGAAACAAGCAAACCCAAACCAACCACACAAACCACGGGCACCCAAGCTCCAAAACTGAGACAATACAGCTGGGGACTGTATTGGGGTGGTGGTTATGGTTTTAGCCTTGCTCCTCTGGATATAAAAAGGACTTCTTTCATGGATCTGTTTTACTACATAGAAGCAAACGCTGGCAGTTCAATACCATATCTCAGCACACACGCCGGTGACAATGAATTCCCTTTCATGCAAAGCAAGTTCCAAGAAAACTCCATTTCAGATTAAAGTCTCCAGATGCGTAATTTACAACTACTAAAGGATCTGGCGAGCTCCTCCACAATAAGGGAAGGAAAACAACCTGGCACCAGAGGTAGAGAAGGGTCAAAAAACGATCCTTGCATGAAATGATGGGTGGAAACCAAAACCCTCTCGCACTCCACAGTCTGGGGAGGGTTGGATACCAAATGGTCCGTGGCAACCATAGCCTGAAGGAAACACGGAATTTCAATCTCTGGCATCTTCAGACAGGTTCAACATGCCTACCTTTCCAAATATCATCACTTAGGGTGGAGCGTATCCATATTCCCTTCGCTTTCACGGCTAGATTAAGTGCTCAGGTATGGATTTATATCCCACCTACTAGAAATTATATTAAACATTACAGAGCACCCTTGGCTATTCAGCCCTTCCTGATGATTTTCCAAACATTAATAAGTAAAGTAGGCTGCAATGCAGATAAGATACTAGAAACAAGATCAGAAGGAAACTGGGTGAGGCGGGTAGTCGTTTGCTTGTTACCTGGTGCCTCTAGAGGAAAAGACGGTCGTAGGAGGACTTTCTGCCCGCAGGTACAATCCCGGCAAGGTGGCTCCAGGTGGCTTTCACAGTCGTACGCGGGTCTCGCTCGTCACTTTGCTGCCCTTTGCCATAGCTCAGCACCCGCATCCTAGGGAGTCCGAAAGGCGGCTCCTGCCACTGCCGCTGCTGCCCGCAGGTCGCGCTGGGTGGGGGATCCGCGGAGATCGCCCCATGAAACCCGCGTTTCTGCGCCCGGGGAGCGGGCAGAGGCAGGGCGGCCGCGCACGCACACACACACTCAAACACACACACTCGCACACACTCGCACCCAGGCGCGCGCGCACTCGCATTCACTCTTGCACACGCACATCCAACACAGCGCGGGGAGGGAGGAACAGGGAGGGGACTGGTCCTTCTCACGATCAGCTTTGATGCCCACCGGACCACAGGCAGAAAAGACAGTGGTTTGGCATAGCCTTTTGATCACGTTTCCTTCAAGTTCTCCTCCAACCCAAATCCACGCAATTCATGGGCTGGTGACATTTTGGTGGAGAGGGGAGAGCCGGGAAAGGGCTGAGGAAGAGTCGGGGATTTTGTTAAGCAGTTTGAAAAGCAATCCTTGTTACCTTGTTTGTACAGAACCCAGCTCGAAGGGCTGAACTTTTGGCTTCAGATGATGTGGACCGAAACATAAATATCCTTGTGGCCAAGACCGGAAAGTCCAGATGGACGCAGACAAGACGGCTACAAGACCCTCTCGTGACCTTGTGATGTACCTGGAGGCAAGTTAATACTGGCGCTTTCCAAGCCTCTGGGTAAAGCGATCCACACACATGGGTCCATAGCCAGGCAGCGGTTCCGAATCCAGCCGGGAAAATGGGTCTGAGCGTCCTCCCTGGTCTTCAAGAACCTGGGCATCGAGGGGGCACCGACGAGTTAACAACATTTGCTTCTGGGCAGTTGGATAAAAGACAGTCAAATGCATCAGACAGACGCGCGCGCGCGCACACACACACACACACGCAGCTAGCTGAAGAGCGGCTTACAAAAAGAAAAAAAAAAAAATAGAGGCCAAGATGACTTCAAAAGGTAGAAAAGATCCAGAATCTTTTCCGAAAACGGAAGGGTCAGCAAGAAGGTTATAAAAATCTTCCCAGGTCTTTCATTCTTCCTCTCTTGTGAATGTGTGTATTTCCAGAAGGTTTCCTTGGTGGGCCCCACCCCCGTCCAGTTGCGCTTTTTTTCTCTTGATATAAACCGACCATGCAAAATGGATTATATGGGTGGGTTGTGCTCACAGCCCAGAGCTCTACAGTCAAGAATCCTAAGGGAGCAGCCAGCTGCGAAGCCATTCACATCCTCTAGGGAAGAAGGAAAAACACGCGCAAACACACGCACACACGCGCGCACACACACACGAGTCCTCAGTTCGGGCCGCTCTGCACACGCTGGCCGACTCCCTGCGCGCGGCTGCACACAGCGCCCCGCCCGCCGCCCACCGCGCCGGGGCGGACCCGCGGCTCAGTCGTGCAGCGGGCAGCCCAGGGCCCCGGCTGCGGCCAGGGCGGGCCCCGGTCCCAGGCTCCCCGCGGCAGCCCGATCCGGCAGCGGCAGCCGCCCCGCCGGGAAGGACTGCGTCCGGCGCTGCAGCATGGAGGCGGCGGCGGCGGCGGCGGGCGCGCGGCCGTGGGCCCGGCCCTCGCCGCAGTGACGGGAACTACCGCGCCTCCCAGACTCAGAGTCTGGAGAGACCCCCGCCCGGGCCAGCGCGCCTCCCCCTGCGCTCGCGCCTGCAAGCCGGGCTCATTCTGGACTGATTCACCCCGGGCTGGAGGAGAGGGTCCACGAGGTGCTTGCAAATCCCCAGGCAAAGGAGGCGCGGGGGCGTTGCAGGGAGGGGGAGGGGAGAAGGCGGAAAAACTGGAGGTAGAGGCGAACTTCTAGGGGCGTGCGTCCCCCAGCCTCAGGCAGAAGGGCAACCTGCGGACTACCTACAGCCCCACGGTTGTGGGGAGTAGGTATGAAGGAATGCCACCGGGTCAAGCTGAGACTTGAGGTCTCTGTCACGTGCGACTGGCATCCAGGGTCCCTTTAGTAGTAGGCGGTGGTTCTCTAGTCAGATGGGAAAAGAGGCTGAAAAGAACATTTACTTTTGAGAATTAACTCAACTCAGCATTAGACATTACAAGTGCAAGTTGGTCACATTTTCGTAGGTCCAGGGCAGAAAGCAAGTCCAATAGTCGACATTAGCCAGGCCTGACCACTCAGGTCAGGGGGGGAAAGATCTGATGTGAAGCACCAAAAAGAAGGCGGTGGGGAGAAGGCTAGACTGGGTCCTGCGGAGAGGGGTGCAGGGGCGGCGTTTCTCGGGACTCTGCCACAAATCCTCGAGCTTCTGTCCTAGACCCCGCACTCCGTCCCTCCAGTCTGGAAGAAGGTTCCTTCCGGGAAACCCCCAGTGAAATCCAGCTGTTCTTTCTACTGGAGCCGGGAAGCCCTTGCACTTCTCTTTGGCGGATTGTCCAGCACTGGGTCTTCAGCCCCAGGAGGCCCCTCCTCCCTCCGCTCCGATCTCCGGGGCCCCGGCAAGGGTCAGAACCCAAAGGGAACGAACCTAAAGGGAAGGTTAGAGCTAGAGGCTGAGGAAGAGGGAAGCAGGCTAATAAAGGCCTCTTCCTGGCCTACTTGGCAAAACCACGTGTTGGTGGCCCCCTCGGATGGGCGCTCTGGAATTCTGTCACCAATGGGGCTTTCCCGGGCTGGTGCGCTGCCCTGCGGAGGCACGGAGGCACTCAGACAGGAGCACACCCACTGGGCTCACCCAGGCGCGTACGCGTGCACACACGCGCACACACGTGCACACACGCGCAGGCAGGACCCACACAGCCGCCTCTCTGCGGAAAGAAGCCGAAGCCTGGAGGGCTAGAGGTGCCCACAGCTCACCTCCTTGCTCCGCTCGGCTTCCCCTTTACGCCCCCTCCCCTGCCCCCGGCTCCCGGTCCGATCCAGGGTTTAGGAGCCCGGCAGCCCTCGCCGCTGCTTTGTTCGGAAGGAGCGCGGCTCTGGGGCGGCGAGTGCTGCGGCGCCCGCGTCCTCCAGGTCTGCCGGCGGCGCGGGGTCCCGGGCTCGGGGGGCGCAGAGGGGAGCAGAACCGCGGACGCCGCGCCGGACGGTCGGAGCTCGCGAGCTGGAGCGTCACACACACAGCCGGGGGCTGCACGACCGCACCTCGCAAAGTAACCCCCGGCGCCAGGGGTGCCGCGGCAGTCCAGGCGAGTCTCCGCGGAAACCGTCAGGGCTTCCCCCGTGCCTCTGCGTCCCCCGAAGTGAAAACACCGGGGGTCCGAGAAGTCTACGGCAAGAGCCTGCGGCGAGCTGGGTGCGGGGAGTCCCCGTGGAGCAGGGAGAGAGGACGGCCATCTCCGTCCACTTTGCAGCTTGGCCACTTCTGGGACCTCACTGGAGGGCGGCGGAGGTGCACCGGTCCGGGGTAGGAGCGGCCGAGAGCGAGCACTTCCAAACACTTTAGGACGCGGGGGGACTCCTCTTCCTTCAGGATCGTCCTATTTGCCACCCTTCCCGGCTGAGCTGATAGAAACCGCCGAAGTCCAGGAAGTAAAGGTTTGCGCTTCCTCCTGGGGACCCAAGTACAGAGAGATGTTGAATGAGAAATCCAAAGACCTTACATCGCTGGACCAAATAACTTTTCTTTTCCGTTTTCTTTTTTCCCCCTTTCGTTCTCTCCCTGCCTCCCTTCATTCCTTCACTTCTTTTTCCTTTCTCTCTCTCTCTCCCTCCCTCCCTCCCTTTCCTTCCTTTTCTTTCATTCTCTCTCTCTCTCTCTCTTCCCTCCTTCCCTCCCTTGCTTGCTTCCTTCCTTCGTTTTCTAGTGTCCGGACACAGGTGAGGAGGGGGCATACTTAACCAGCTGTAAGAAGTCTAGAGTTGAGAACACAGCAAAGTTCGAATATCTTACTATGTGCTTTTAAGAAAAGGTGTGTGTGTGTGTGTGTGTGTGTGTGTGTGTGTTTGCCTAAGAAAGATGAGATCAACTTTTCCTTAAGGTGGAGTAATTTTGCAAGCCCTACCAAGCTTATAAAAACACTTAAGTTTTTTTTTGTTTGTTTTGTTTTAGTTTAGCCTTACTGTACGTTATGCATTATATTTGAAGGGGCTTTCCTCTACTTTCCCAGTTATCTCTCATTTCAAGAAAGCACTGGCTGGTAAAGCCTTGTAACTCTTTCTGTCCATCCACATACAGTGTGTTTGTTCCTTTCCCTCCTATGGAAGATGATTAGAGTTTGAGCTTTGTTTTACAACACTCAGTAGAAGGTGGCAAGACTCTCAAGGAGAGGCTAGGATACTCTTTCCCAAAGGATCTCAAAGTTAACAAAGGGTGATTTTTATTTTTATTTCCTTCAAAGGAAAAAGGGCCTATGAAAGCAAGAGAGATAGCAATTTCTGGTTCGCCTGTATGGTTATAGTAGACACTAACCAACTATTGTAATTGGTGAATTTTAAGAGTCCAAACAAATTCTTTGTAGAACAGAGTCCATTTATACAGTAGCAACTAAAGAGAACTAAAATCTTTTTCAATAAACAATTTACTCTTACTTTACTCAGTTTATCTGCCTGACTTTCTTAATTTATTCTCAAATCCAATGTTTGTGCCAAATCACTTTTAAAATTATGTCAAGCCTTTCTCTCCCAGGTTGTGATCATGGTCATATCATGGTCATAAGTGTTGCACTGTCTTCCCAGAATAATCCACAATTTGAAAAAGTTGTGTTTTGCCAATTTGAGCCAACAAATGGAAATGTGGATGTTTTTCAGTTAAAATAATAACAACAAAAAGGTGACCTGAGTTTCTGGTTACATTATTATTTGGCATTCAAATTTCTTCTTAGGCAGTAAGATAGGCAGGATTTACTCTAAAGTTTTTTGTTAACAGATTACTCCGTGAATTTTCTGACTTCTGTGGATCGATGTGTGTGATAAATTGTTTTTTCAGTTCATTGTGTGTTGATAAGCTTCAAAAATCTTATTTAGGTTGGGGGTATCTCCAATTTCAGTGATGAATCGCTATTATGAAGAGCTTTTAATTCTTTTTACTAACATAAAGTTCTGTTAATTAAAGACTGGAAAATGGTATGAAGAAACAACAGGGCAAGACAAGTTTCTGAAATGAATAACATCAAAAAATTAATTAAAATAAGTGAAATCCAAACATCAAGATTTAAAAAAAATAACTGTCATAGTTGTGCCTTACATAGTTTTGAAATATAAAAATAGATGTGACTATCTTAGAAACATGTTTCTGATGTTGTACCTGCCTATAAGTTCTAAGATACAAACTGTGTTGCAATTTTTTGGCAAAAAATTTTACCAAAAAAAAAAAAAAGAAAACAGATTCAACTGATCTCTAAACAGAATTGAAGACCCAGCATATTTCTTTCATAAGTAAAGATAACATACTTCTCATGTATCTATTTTGGATCATCCACAAAAATCAAACTTATTTACTATTTTACATTTTTTCTAGATAGAGAAGATATTTTCCATTTATTTTTAAATAAAAATTTTTTCTTGATTTGTAATATTTTTACTGTGTAAAATATACATTTACCTTTTATATTTTTAACCTTGATTGTTGATGATAACGATATATTATGTGATCAGGGTGTACCTCATGAAAGCTGGAACTTACACTAACACCCCAATAAATTATTGGACAAAGGTGACCACTTTTTTTACTGAGAAAAGTCTTTACTGTAACTTAATTATTAAAAACACAAATGTAATGACTTTGTGTCAAAGGCAAGAACTTTTTGAGAGAGTTCAAAGAGAAGGGGTTATTTCAGAGATTAACACTGGTGGAGAGGTAAGGCAATTCTTAGGCAATATTGCAAGCAAGAGGTAGAAATTATCTTTCATATCCATCCATCTTTTTTTCTTCCTTATTTGCTTATATCCTGGTATCGATTCCCTGTTGTCTGGTGCTTCTATTTAGTTACCTGGAAGCCCCAAAGCACAACATTCTAAGTGGAAATATCTAATCCAGAGACAAATGGTACAATATTGTGATTTATTTTCCTCTTGTGATCAAAACCTCTATTTAGTTATATTATTAGATGGATCTAATTAAATTCTTAAGAAAATGATCACATCATGCTAATTCAAACTAAAGTGTCAATGACTAGTTGTTTACCCTCTTCAGAAATATGAAGCAACTTGATATCTAAAAAGTAGAATTTCTGGCAAAGTGTGTTACATATCTAGGAAGCAAAGGCACCATGGTCATTCTTAAAATTGCATGTTAAGTATGGTACTAATTTTATACTCTACCATGGGGGAGAAGAAGGGGGGAAATAGTAGGGGAGAGGGAGAGAGGCAAACCATGAGAGACTCTTGAATGCTGAGAACAAACTGAGGACTGTTGGGTGTGGGGGGGAGGGGGGAGATGGGCATAGAGGAGGGCACTTGTGGGGATGAGCACTGGGTGTTATATGGAAACCAACTCGACAATAAACTATTTGTAAAAAAAAAAAAAAAAAGTATGGTACTACTTTTTCTATATTATTTTTAAAAATTTTTAAAAATGCTATGAACCTAGTTTTTAATCTTGGTGGAAACATTTTGAAAGTCTTATATTTATAGATACAGATAGTATTTTATGAACATTTCCACTTGATTATTTTTAAGTGAGTTTTGCCCAATATGGGGCTTCAACTCATGACCCCTGAGATGAACAATCTCATGCTCTATCCACTAAGCCAGCCAAGTGTCCCACAACCTGATCTTGACATTCTGTTTTAAAGTAAAGTCAGTCATTACATAATTGTCTTCAAAACAAAGTATCTTAAAAAGATGCATTACTATTCTTATGACTTGATTTGTGAGTACTGGTAGGCACACCAAGTCATATCAGATGGAACTGAGAGCTGTTGAGTCTATGGACTTAACTTCTTCAAACTGTGTATATTACTCTCAGCTCTAAAAAGAAACGTGATACTAAACTGTATAAGAAAGCTTTCACTTTTATGTTTTAGTGTTTTATGGAGTCTGTTTCTTAAGGTTTATTTTTCTCCAAAATCTGCCCCTGAATTTCAGTCAGGTGGCCACAAGTCGGCAGTAATGTGACATACTCATGTGGTTGAAAACACAGGGTTTGGCTATCTTCTTACAAGCCATCATAGATTTAGAAATAAGAACTATTTTCTATCTATTATGAAAGATGCATTTTCATTAAGATAAATAATGAGAGATAAGTTTTTCATATAGATGAAAACAGAGAAATATTTTAGAACAATTGTTAACATAAATTCCTAAAGCATGATTAGGTAGTTTCCTCCTAATCTCTTCACCAGTTCCCTTCTCCTTTAATTATGGTCTCTTTAGGAAATTGAGTTACTTCTCATTAGTCTACTCATGTTTTACCTCCTACTCCTTCAGGTCCTTTCACTGACTGCACATTCTTAGCTACCTTGGTAGTCAAGTTCTCTTGGAGTTAATTTCTCAGCTGTAGTGCCAGTGATTCCTGTAAAGAACAAATCATTTTGTGATTGTTTACCATAAAACATTTTCTCCATAGAATGGCATTTTTCTGCATGCAGTGCTGTTCATTTCATCGTCTCAGGCAGTGCCCAACACCTGGCACTGGGGAAAGAATAACCATAATTCTCTGGGTCTCTGTCCCCACGATAGCACGCACTTACCATCTCATGCAGATTATAAACCAAAGAACAATATGACCTTGCTTTATTTCATAATGACGATTTGCTATTAAGCCCAAATCTTCTTTGGTTAGGCCTCTGGAAACCATCTCCACTGACTTCAATTACAGCTTTGTTATTGCTGTTAGTTTCTAGTTTGTTTTTTCCCAAATTTATTCAAACTGTCTTGAAAGGTAGCCTGTGAAATATCCAGACACAATCTTTTACCAAAGTACAAGATACAACACAGTGTATACAATAAAATGTTGGAATATAACATGTCTGAATTCAAATCTTGGTTCTGAAATTTACTGCATTACTTGTGGAAATCATTTCACTCTAGCCTGAGTCTTTGACTCTTCTGTGCCTCAGATAAAAATGATAATACTCATGTTTGGGGTTAGTTAAGTGATTGTAGTGATTTTGTCAGTTTAAACTACCCAGTAGAAGCAAGTACTCCATACATATCACTTCTGTTCTTTGTCTTTAGTCTAAAATTATGCAATGAGTAACCAGTTTTACTGAAAGTGTATTATACATCATCTAGTTTCTTAAAATAATCTATTTGTAATCAATAAAATTTGTTATAAAAGTGAAATAAAAACCCGCAGGAAGATGCCTAAAACATTCTACTAATATTTTTATTTTCCTTCATATTAAATATTCTGTAATTCTGGTAACATATTGTTGAGCAAAATCTTGAATACTCAAGCTGCTCTCTTCAGATACTATTCACCCTCAATATGTATTTTAAAAGTTAATACCTTTCTCTTTAAGAGAAGTACTCTTGCAAGAATATAATCAAAGAAGCTTTCTTTAAATTTATGCAGCTTAATCCTGGCTCAGAGACTAGTTACTATATATACAATGTCTCTTGGCCATTACTTGGGTTGTTACAAAAATGAAGAAGTATGTTGAGAATATGAAAAGTTGAACAAAATGGAAATAAAAACAGATGAATTATTAAGTACACATTTTAAGTTATTTGCCTCAGATTTATTAAGATCCTTATTAACATTTATATTTGTAGAAAATATAATTATTTTTAAACACCTTATCTTTTTATTATGTTATATTGCTGTGATAGTATTTTCCCTGTTTCTCTGAAGTGAATTTGTATCTTGGCAACATTAACTTAACTATTATCCATCTGTTGTATCTTTTGTTTCTGCTTGAATATGCCAAAACCATAAAATATTCTTGTTTTGTGTTAGATTGACGTGTTTTAACCTTTTCATAATATAAAATTAGAATCTTTTTAAACCAAAAACACATTATCGAATAATTAACATAACTTACTGATTGTGGAGATACAGTAGATATTTTATGTTGTTTCATTAGCAACAGCATTTAGGAACTAAGAAAAAGTTAGGTGGGAAATCACTGTGAAAAATTATATGAGATTGCAACCTTTCTATATGTTTTTCAAACGTGGTCAACAGTAATTATGGTTAGCTTTTACAATTTTATAAATTTGAGGACTTGCTACACTTTACGATGGAAATTGTTTAAGACTTGATTTCTGTAATACTGATAAATGTAACCAAAAATGTAAAAACATAGGCATTGAATTCATTCATTTGTTCACTCATTTTCATACATATTATGCTCCAAGAATAGGTCCTTCCTGTTCTTGACTCCACTGACTAAGAGGTCTCATTGTTCTCTAGTTTCCATTCATACTAAAAGGGACAATATGTCTTAGGGGGAAAAAAGAATGGGAAGCAAAGAATGTGGGCAAATTGTAAAGTTAATAATTACTTAGAACTATAAAAACAATTCCTTATATATTATCTAAGAGTGCTTTTTTACCCCACTTCATACATTAATTTTCTATTTTCAAAAATATTTTCATACTATTCCACTGAAATGCTTGTTTTATATACTTTTAATAAGATGGAGATAAATGAATAGTCAATCTGCATGAAAGGTCTATATAACGCATTAAAGGGTTAGTAGAAAGTTTGAAATGTAGTTTTTTTGTTTTTTGTTTTTTGTTTTGAGAGAGAGAGAGAGAGAGAGAGAGCCAGAGCAAGAATGGAGAAGGGGCAGAGAGAGGAGACAGAATCTGAAGCAGGCTCCAGGCTCTGAGCTGTCACCACAGAGTACAATGCAGGGTTCAAACCCACGAACCCTGAGATTATGACCTGAGCCGAAATTGGACGTTTAACCGACTGAGCCACCCAGGTGCCCCTGAAATGTAGTTTTAAACCTGAACTGTGAAAATGCTCATAATGCAAAAAATAAAATACATTTTTTATTAATTTTGAAAGATGGACATTTGTTTGATGCAGTGAACTAGAATAACACTGTTTCTTTTTCTAGTGACCTCATCTTGGAAATTTTGATTGGATTCAGCAGTACTAAATTTACTCATTCATTTAGAAAATTGCCAGTGAGGTATGAGATGGATTCCTTGACCTCCTGAACTCATTTCTGCCTATTGTGTTCTGTCTTTACAATAAGCAACTAGCTTCCCTTCCCTGCTTTTGTTATTTAATCAACTTCTGGTTTCTCCTTAGCAAGAGAATACCCTTTTATAGGTGAAATGCATGTCTGTTTTCCAACACCAGGCAACACAGGAATGATTCTGCTTGGAATTAGAAGATAATTAGAAAAACTTCTTTGAATAGTTACAAAAGAGCCTTCTAGAAAATTTTGCAGATAATGCCCCAAGTGGAACTTACACTGAAACAACAGTATGTGGCCATACTTCGACTACTTTCTGTAAATGTTAAAGGCATTTTTCTTTATAAAGTATGCAAGGTAATTTTTACCCTTATAAAACAAATGGCCAGTTCAAGTGGCAACTATGCTTTGAAAGCTAATTTTATTTTCCTTGAAATATTTTTTTTTCTGTTTTATGAAATATACAAACACACAGCTACGTTCTTGGACTGTATGTTGCTTTGATTTTAAGGTATGAAATCTCTCCCACTATGGTTCATTTGCTATTTTTTGCCTTAAAACAACGTATCTGTGCTACAGTGTGCACTAGGTAGCAAATGCTGAAACAGAAAGGCAACAGTAATAAATAGCCCAAGAGAGTAAACCCTGGATTTGAACAAAGTCAAATTTTGGAAAAGAAAATAAGCATTATCCACCATATACCCAAGTGTGTTTGTAGTTTCAGCTATGGTCCAGTCAGCAGCACATTTAGTGTTTCACATTCTCTGTAGATCGCATTCACACACACAAGGTGATAACTATTTTAAAAATGTAATGAATGCAAAGAACCCTTTAATTTTTGTCTTTTCAAATTTAGTATTCCTATATCTCAGAAATGCTACAGTAAGATAATATGAATATGTATAAGATAATGTGCCAGGTTTTTTTCTTAACCGTTTAGTTTGTGATTTCAAACAGCTCAATTTCTCCTTTGTTATTTTAATCTTAGAGTTATATATATGTATGTGTATATATATAGTTATATATATGTATGTATATATATATAACTATATATATATATATACATAGTTATATATATGTATGTATATATATATAACTACATATATATATATATATACATACATATATATAACTTACATAGAGCAAACTGTTCAATAGAGGTACAACACTTATTTTTTAAATGTACTTTGGGGCGCCTGGGTGACTCAGTTGGTTAAGCATACGAGTTCGGCTCAGGTCATAAACTCACAGCTTGTGAATCTGAGACCCGTGTCTCAGCCTCTGTACTGACAGCTCAGAGCTGGAGGCTGCTTCAAGTTCTGTATCTCCTTCTCTCTATGACCCTTACCTGCTCATGCTCTGTCTCTCCCTGTCTCTCAAAAATGAATAAACATTAAAAAATTTTAAACGTACTTTGTTTTACTTTTTCTAAGCCAGCACTGTCTCGTGGGTAAAACAGAATACCTGACTTTAAGAAACTGCAGCCCCTGAAAATAAAAAGTTTTTTATATTTAGCAGTCATGATGAAAAAGCAATTGACACTTTGTTCCATCTTCTGTTTCTGGTAGTGTTTGTGTTTCAAGTGTTAACAGCAGGAACTGATAATGAAACATTCGTGGAACACAATCTATTAGTGGTTACCTCCAAATAAATAAGTACTTTTGCTATCTAATCTGGCATTTTATTGTACTAAGTCTTTGATTTACTCAAAATTAAAATCAGATAATTGACGTGTACATTAATACCATAGATAGCCCCATACTTGTATATGTATGTTACTATAATCAAAGTGTTTTGTTGTATTTGCAGCTAGAGAGGGAGAAATTCATTAATATATTTTACTTTATACTTGTACAAGCAGTGATATATACCATTAAGTATATACACATATATGTGGTGATCACTAATAATTACTTTCTAAAGGATACCGTTTATTAACAAAGTGTTTTGATTTTTCAAGAACAGAAATTTATAATTAGAAAGGAATTTACAGACTACTTAAAAATCTATTCTGTTATAGTTGACACATAATGTTGTATTAGTTTGCAGTGTAAAACATAGTGATTGAACATCTCTATGCATTATGGTACCACAAGCGTAACTACCATCTGGAGACTGGCTATTTCAACCACTGATTTTGTTTGTACAAACTGCCAAGCAGACACCCTAAGCTAATGTTTCCATTCTTCAAGGAGAGAAGTAAAGGCAGGGTTGGAAGTGACCAGATGACACTGACAGCTTCTCCCACTCTCCACACTTGTTAGTAAGGCTTCCCCTCTTGTGAGGAAGAGAGAATCAGCTGGGCTACATTTGGATAAAAGAAGTTGGTTTAAAAAATACTTGTAGAATTTGAGTAGGGAAAGGTAAATTGTGGTTCCAAGGAATCATAGCGATATATGGTACAAGTTGAAGGCCATGAAGAGAACCATTAACTTAAATAAGACACAATTTATGAGTGAAACGTAAGTAGGGAATTCATTAGACTAAAATGATTCTGATGCCTTGTTAGCCTCCACAGGCAAATCAAAACCTAAACCAGAGTCAATGTATTTAATGTGAGAAAATGAAACTTAGTACAACCAGTCATAACTGGCCAACCTGGCTCTCCCAAATAAGGCAACTGCTCAAGCTATGGCCAATCAAATAATTCCCTTGCTTTACTCCATATCTTCTCTATAACTGCACCCCGCCAACCCCCCACTCCGGGGCACCTGGGTGGCTCAGTAGGTTAAGCCTCAACTCTTGATCTCTCAGGTCAGTATCTCACCGGTTTGTGAGTTTAAGTTCCACATCCTGCTGTGAGCTGATAGCTCATAGCCTGCTTGGGATTCTGTCTCTTCTTCTATCTGCCCCTCCCCTGCTTGTGTGCTCCCTTTCTCTCCCCCTCCCCCAATAAATAAATAAACTTAAACAAAAGACAAACTCTCTCCGAGCTCTTCTAACCCCCTTTGGCCAGGTGTTGCCCAACTTGAATCAATGTGTTCAAATAAACTTAAAATTTTTGATGTGCCTCAGTTTATCTCTTAGCGTGAGCTCCTTGACATTTAAAAGAGGAGTGATATGAACTATAATAATTCTAAAGTTGTCCTTTTTCCTGGAGAGAAAGTGAAAGAGATTATGGATTAACACATACACCAGTGGTTAATCGTTAGGATTCAGGAAATCTGGATCTACTTTAGATTATACTAGTAACTTCCTGAGATTATTCATGTTATAGTAAATAAACGCTATGTAAATATTGGTACATTGTTATCAACAATAACCTCATATTCTGGAAAGAAGGAAAAGCATTTAAATAAAAGAGAGTAGATAAATGTGTATGTGCATGTATTCTTTTTTTTTTTTTTTTTAGGAGAGAGAGAGAGAGACAGCGTGAGGAGGGGAGGGTCAGAGAGAGAGGGAGTGACAGACTGAAACAGGCTCCAGGCTCTGAGCTGGCAGTCAGCACAGAGCCCGACACGGGGCTCGAACCCACGAACCGCGAGATCATGACCTAAGTGAAAGTCGGACGCTTAACCGACTAAGCCACCCAGGCGCCCCTGTGCATGTATTCTAAAGAAAGGAATAGGGGCACCTGGGTGGCTCAGTTGGTTAAGCATCTGACTCTTGGTTTTGGCTCAGATCATGATCCCACAGTTTGTGGTTTTGAGCCCCACGTTGGGCTCTACACTGCTGGTGTGGAGCCTGGTTGGGGTTCTCTCTCCCCCTCTCTCTGTCCCTTCCCTGCTTCCTCTCTCTTTCTCTCTCTCAAAATAAATAACTTAAAAAAAAAAAAGAATTGTAGAAAGATTAGTCCTGCAATAATGTAGAAGATAAAGGAAACGTAAATAAAAACGGATACTCTGAAAGAGAATTAAAGTAGTTAAGAAAGATAAGTATATGACTGTGGATTGGAGTAAGGATTAGATTTAAGAGTAGATAGAAAGTTGACATCCATATGGCTTAAGTGCCATCATTGGAAAGGAGTAAATTAGGTTGATGTCCAGCTATCACAATTTGAATTTGCAGGTTCTATACAGGAATATCTCAGTAATCCAAGAAAAAGATGTACGGAAGAATTTAAGAGTTGGGAGAAAACAGGCCAGATACATACTTACTAGGGCAATACAGTTTCTCATTCCTACTGCTTTCTTCATATGGGCTTTTTATGAAACTTTCCTTTTAGACTAGCTTTTATTTCAGCTTAATAACTAAAGAATATGGCCCAGATATGAGTATCACATCCTCTACTAATATCACACTCCTGTCTGTGTCTCAGATTCAACCCCCAGGAGAGAGAACAGACTAGGCCAGCTGTACTGAGGGGATGGGCTAATACGGCCTGCTACCTACTCAGCAAACAGCCATAAGAGTCAGACTCTGGCTGAATTTCTGAAGAAAGTCAAGTAACTTTTCTGAGAAGTGGATCTAGAGACAGGAAAATTTACATTCAGGTCTCTAGTCTACCAAAACATGGATGTAGAAAGAAAGCCATTTTAGATGAGAATTTATTCAGTTTTATATACAAACTTAAGAGGGCTAGAAGAAAGATTCTCAGGAGGTATCTGGATCTATACATTGAGCTCAGAGTAGCAATCTGGGATGGAGATAGCCATTAATTTGTAGGTGACAAAATCATGGGATTAAATGAGAGTGCATGAGTAAGAACATATGAGTAAAATGGACCCCAGAAGTACAAAATAGCCAAGGAGTTGATGAAAAAAGAGATGGAAATAAGCTGAAAAACAACATATCTTAATAGGGAGATGGAGCAAATGATATCAGGCAAAGCAAAGACAAAAACATTTCAAGAAATGGGTTGGAGAACAGTGTCAAGTGTTGCAGAGAGATTGGTGATATAAAGAGTGAAATGAGGGGAGATCTCCTGGGCATCATTAGTGATGTTAGCAAGACCAGTTTCAGTGGAATAATATAAGAGGATTGCCCCATTATGCAGTGGGCCAAAAAGAAAACGAGAAATGAGAAATCTAAAAAAGAGTAAGAAAAGAGAGGATAGATTTGTTAATTAATTCAAAAGGAGCAATTCTTTCATAATATCTATGTATAATGAACCGTTACAGTGTATACTTGGAATGTGTTAAAACTTAACTTATCAACTATACCTCAATAAAGCTGAAAATTTTTTTAAAAATTAAAATAAAAAAAGAGTATGTATTATGCATTGAAATGAAGAGACCTAAGTGACGATAGAAGGTATTGAAGCATCTAAGAAGTCAGATCCCATTAAGAAATAGAGCATAAAATATGGAAACAAATGAATAATTGCTGGAGTACAGCATCCAAGGAGTTAGTATAAGATCTTATCTACAAGGGATTAGCTCCTGGCAGAAAAGACTTCTTTCAAGAAGCTTGACAGAAGCTGGTCCTATTGTCTAAGCTCCTCCATAAATATTTAACTTTACTGTTGCATACATTTTCCTACTGATATTTTTAATTGAATAGAGGATAATTGCATATAGTAAAAAATATTTAAATATCTGTCTTTTGAGGTGCAGAGGTCCTGTGATAGATGTATTATTATGAAAAAGTTGTGCATTATAAGGAAAATTTGCAAAGAACCAGTAGCTGACTAATATGTTTAAAAAACAAAATAATCAAAGACAACATAAAAAATGTAATTTAAAACAAACAAAAAAGATGACAAGACAGTTTAAAGACACCCTTGTTTTCCTGTCAACAATTATCACAAATTTTACTAGAATTCACATAGGTACAAGTTTTTCTTCTAACAGCACACAGGGGCACTTGATTTTCCAAGGATAAATACTTTATGAGAAAATATTATGGGAGAATTGGTTTATAACTTAAGAAACAATAAATTCAGAATAGATGTTTGAGTTACTGAATTTCAGAAAATATGCAATTTTCTTTGAGAAAAGCTAAGCTATTTGTTTTCATCATAGGCCAGCAAGTGGTGGGTATGTTAGAGGAGGTCATCAAGGGGACATCAGCACTGACTGACCCTCCAGCTGGACCGAGGCATTTGGAGGCTCCTCACCCACTCCACTGACCTTGGAATGTCCATTTTGCCCACTGTTCCTACACTGCAAGTCACTTCCGAGGAAGCAGCCTGAGAGAGAAATGTGTGACAAGACCGTCTGAACTGTATATGTGTCTGACCCCGGTTAAAGCCTCTGTATCAATTTTTAAGACTTTAGCAAAGGTGCTGAGGTTTATTAATTAGGCAACAGCTCCATGAATGTTTCAAAGATTTGAATAATTTGTCAGTGTGAGGGTGGCTTGCCTTAATAAAGTCAGTATCAAAAAGACCTGTACCTTTAGAGCAGTAGTTAGCATAGTATGATCTCTGGATCGTTATTTTGTGAGAAATGCAAATTCTCAGATATACTCCAGATCTACTGAAATAGAAACTCTGGATTGGGGCTTAGGACTCTTTTAACAAACCTCAGGTGATTCTGTACTTCCTATACTTTGAAAACCTTTGTTTTAAAAGTTAATATTTACCTATAATAAATTTTAAAGGGGCCAACTGATGCAAAACAGATATTCCAATTTTACGTTAATTTTATTTACTATTAAACAATTTTTTATCAATTCTGTTTAAATGATAAAACACTTTAAATACTGAAGTCCATTGATTACTATATATTTGAATGTAAAAGCACAAGAAAAGCACTGTGCATTTTGTTTAGATTTAGTTTAATTTTCTTTTCTTTTTCTCTCCCCTCTATTCTAGTTGAACTTGTACTTTTAGTTTAAATTATTTTTTTTAAAATGCTTAAAATATGTAGATGGTTCTAATACTCTGTATTACCTGACAAATGAATATTTGAATCAAAAATAAAATTGTAGATTTAAGGTAAGTACATTGATTTAAAATTTTCTTCCAACTGATTTCACAAGATTGCAGAATCTATAGAATCAATTTTGAATGCCAATATTTAATTTTATGGAAGATGATAAATCTTAGCTTTTGAAGTTAGAACTCATGTATTAGATAATGGTTTTCATTTATCACGCACAGTTCTGTAACAATGTGGACATTATGAGTATAAAAACAAAAATAGAAGTTATAGATTTCTGTACATGTATCACAGAGCCAGAGAATTACTGGTAGGAGAAATCTCAGCAGTTTGGACAATGTTGCACAGAATGCACAGCCAAAAAGGAAATTTGCTGCTGGAAGGTTTTTTATAGGTTTAAAATCGTTACTGGCTTTAGTGCACTGGTAAATGTTTAACAACCAACTTGGCAAGAGGGTATAGGGAAGGGAAAGGGGGATGTTTTGATATATAACCAATTGGTTTGCCAATCTCCATGGCTTAAATGATCCAACCTTGGGCAATTTCAATCTGCTATATGAGGTCAGTGAACAAGATCTGGGAAGAGATACACACAATTGGCTGCAGCTAGCCAATGTGCTGGTCCCAGACCAAAAGTGGCTACAGGGTTCTAGAAGTGTCCTCACATGGCTCCATTATTAAACATTCAATAGATTTTGCCAACATATTCTCTGCCAAATTCTCTCAAATCTGGGTGGTGGTAACTTTTCCCAAATGGAACCATGTCTCTGATGTAATACTGAAAGATAATTGAAAAAAATCTGCTTTACATTTAGTAGGCTACTGATCACATCCTTCATAAAATGTAAAATATCTGTAATTCTCCTTTCTTCAATTTATTATTATTTTTTTTAAGGTCATGGGCATTTATTTTTCCTAGCGCTCATACAATTTGCATTTGTTTCATACTGCTTACCTCAACAGTATATAGAGCCTAATGAAACTTTAAAAATAGACCAATCTTAATTCATATATTATAGAAAATAACTTCAGTAGTATTACTTTTTATACCTGCAGATGCAATTTTTCAGGAATTTTAGAAAAAATTCTTTCACCTAAGTTGTTTTAAATAAATAAGTTTTAGGATTTTTAACTGAATTACTTGTGTCATCATTATTTAGAAAATCTGAAGTAATTTGCTTAGTATTTTCTTTAGCTATTTTGCACCACTGAAAATGCTTAATATTTGTTTAAGTATCGAGTCAAACTAAGTTGGAGAGATAATTACTGAATACTGTTATTAAGTGATGAAAATATAAGAAAAAAGACCATGAGTAAGAATATCATTTTTAAAGCATATAGTCAAATAAATGGAAATTTTATTTTCTCAGAACATGTTAAGAAGCATCTGATACACATGGTATTTGTTTATCTTTAAACGATAAATTTTAAATATCCAATTCTCTGGGATATTTTCAGTTTCCTCAGGGTTTTATGTTCTGAGAAGACCATGTAGAAATAATGGATCCTTTGGGGACAGGTACATCAGTGATAAGGTTTAGCCTCTTTACAAGAGTTAGGTAAAGAAGACAGAATTAACAAAATAAAATATTGACACCGTTAATATTATTTATCAAAAGAATTCCAGTTTATATTCTTTAGTCTGTAAGATGGGGGAGCTATTGCATTACATAAAATACTGGCCACTTCTTTTCCTCTGAGCATTTTTCTTTGATTAAAACCATTTGTAGTAAATGATGACCCAAGCCTTTGTAAATGACATTTTAACTGGGGTTATGGTCTAATGAAATTGTATTTTTAAAGGAGTTTCAATTATCAGAACTATAAAATATTTGCTTACTAGTAATATACTTAAAATGAGGTATCAATTCCTTCTATAACTCCACTACATATTGATTATTATTCCATTTTTGGACTAATGCTTTTGAGGCTTTACATGGCAGGGTTTGTCTATCTGAACAGCATGAAACTACCTTTCCTTAAAAAATAAATACTCTGCTGTTGTTTAGTTATGCTTCTTAAAACCTGATAGGTCTGGCAAGTCTCTTAATCCCTGTTAAGGGTAGAAAGGGGAAGTGATATGCATTGTAAACTTAACCTTGAATGAATCCAAGTCAAAGAAAAAGAAGTAGAATATCTTAAAATTTTAATCCTACAATATAAATGTTGAGAGAAAGAAAAGTGTGAACACTGCATAAATTATAACTTAAAGTCTTACTAAACTAGGTTCAGAATGTGTTCATGAGCAGCCAGTAACATGTTACCTTTATATCATAGAATTCTTGTCACAGAAAGAATTTCTGTGATGCTCTAGGACCTTAATATTAGCTCATGTTGTTCATATGGGAAAACTGTGACAAGGCTCTTTGCAGTATGTAGTTTCTTTTCTTTTGCCTTATCTTGGTATTAATAGAAAGCTTTGAAGTAAGAAAAGTTTATTGCCAGCCCTGTTCTGTTAGCTTAAAAGCTTAAACTTTTTTAAAAAGTTTATTTATTTTCGAGAGAGAGAAATAGAGTGCAAGCAGGGGAGAGGCAGAGAAGAAGACACAGAATCTGAAGCAGGCTCTAGACTCTGAGCTGTCAACAGAGAGCCCGACAGGGGACTTGAACTCACCAGCGGTGAAATCATGACCTGAGCCAAAGTGGGTCACCTACCCAACTGACCCACACAGGTGCCCTAAGTTGTTATTATTTTCTTAAAGATACCCGGCTAAAGATCAGCAATCACAGTGCTCTATGAATATCAATTTTTTCACCTTTATTCAAAAACTATGAGAGAAAATAGCTGCCTATGTGATGTAAGTTTCTGGAATAGAAAATGTATGAAAGTAACTTGTAGCTATGAAATGTTATAAAACTGTTAGTTCTTGGTGCCTCACAGCCACGGTAAAAGCCTGATCATCACATATATCTTTATGTGAAATTTATTTATGTTTGTAAATGCTCTAACTGCAACTCTAAATACACAGGAGAAAAAGTTGAGTGGTAGATGCTTGAATGTAGGCTCACTCTCTTTCCTTGATGTCCAGTCTGTAATGTCTAATGATTATCTACTTGGACTGATGCATGGGGAAAGATGGGAACACCTATTCATTTAAGATTCACAAGTTTTGGGGGCGCCTGGGTGGCTCAGTTGGTTGAGCGTCTGACTTCAGCTCAGGTCATGATCTCACGGTTCATGGGTTCGAGCCCCGCACTGGGCTCTGTGCTGACAGCTAGCTCAGAGCCTGGAGCCTGTTTCAGATTCTATGTCTCCCTCTTTTTCTGACCCTCCCCTGCTCACACTGTCTCTCTCGCTTTCTCAGAAATAAATAAAACATTAAAAAAAAAGATTCACAAGTTTTTAATTTACAATTATATTTATTCAATTCTGTTTGAAAAGGAATAAGTACTTTCTGTTGTAAACCATGACTTTAAAACATCATTACCAATTAATGCAAAGAAAGCTACTGAAAATAATTTTAGAAATAAAAAACTTAATACTCATCATAAAATATGTGTGATGATATTAGACATATAACTACATAAGTAATTGCAGCTTATTTGTAGGACCACTGCCTCTTTAAGTTATTAATATAGTATAATTAACCATAAACTAAATCATCCTTCTAGTAATGTCCCTGGATGATTTGACCTGTCAATAAAATATTAGTGTTGGCCTGTAGTTGGATGGTTTTATTTTGTGCACGTGAGAGAGAAAGAATAATAACTGTTGACAATTTTCAAAGCCCAAAATGTGCAGTATAGGGTAATGATTATGATCAGAATTTAAGAATCAGATCTCAAGTGCTTTTTCTGTGTCCACTACATTTTAGCTATGTGACTTTGGGCAAGCTGTTTAACTTGAGTTTCTTCACCTGTAAAATGTAGATGACAACAGCCACTGCCCACAGTTGGTAGAATGATGAAATGAAGCAATATTTGTGGAACACATAGAAGAGTGACTAGTATAAAATAAGTGCATAATGTAAAAGTATATTTAAAAATTTGATAGTAAGAAGACCTTAAATGTGTATGGTTTTGCTTGTTGTTGTTTTCATTCAGACTTTAGGAAAATTATAAATTTATCCTAAATCCATAAATTAATGCTTTAGTCAGAAAGGTCTCTGACCCAACTATAACTATTAAGTTAGTATATACCTGAGAGAACCATAATTTTCATTCTTTCATAAAAATACAAAAGTCATTTTTGGAGTCTTTAAAAGCATTACTTTTTGTTTAAGATTAACCTTGTATTTTGTCAAATCAATAAGAAAGTGCTTTTAAAATTTCAGATTTTAGGGGCACCTGGGTGGCTCGGTCAGTT